ATCTAGAGATATCTTTTCAAGAAACTTAAAAACAGTTCATTCAGCTAACAATTTGCAATCTGGGAAATGTAGTCCTCAATATGAACTGAGAATATATTCCAAAATGGAGAGATTAGGGCAGAGTTTATGAAGGCAAAAGTTGCACGGAGCTGGTGATCAAAGAGATGGGTTGCTGGGGTAAACAAGATCATAAACTTACATTACGTGTTTTCTGATTGATGGGAGCAACTAGGCTTTCAACGGTTGGCTGACTCAGGGATGGAGCAAGTGAAGTTGTAAGGTGGAAACAATGGGTAATATATGATTAAGCATTTATCAAGTCCTGGTTTCAGCCCAGGCCTATAGCACAAAACGGCTGTCTTTGATCACACAATTACAGTACAGGGAGTATTATTTAACAAAGAAGCAAGGAGTTCAATTTATCAAATAGCACAATCAGCATAGGAGTGAGGGGAAGGGATCCGGCTCTGCAGGCAGTTCCAGAGCCCGAAAGGGCAAAGTTATGCACTGCAAGCAGCTTTGGAGCTCAAGCTGCAAAAATTCTAAGTTGGAGGCCACAAATTATGATATGAAAGTTCGCACACCACAGCCTAACAAAATATAATCAATTCTATATCTTGTTTTTATTCAATTTTTGGCAAAATTATACATAGAAGAGTGGAATTTAGGGTATATATCTAACAGGGTGAGACTTGAGCTCTCTTTATTTTTTAAGACTTTATTTATTTATTTTTAGAGAGCAGGGAAGGGAGAGAGAAAGAGAGGGAAAGAAACATTGGTACGCAAAAGATACATAAATTGGTTGCCTCTGGTGGGGACCTGGCCTGCAATCCAGGCATGTGCCTTGACTGGGAATCAACTGGTCACCCTTTGGTCTCAGGCTGGCGCTCAATCCACTGGACCACACCAGCTAGGGTAAGCTCTCTTAGTTTAAAAGCTATAAAGTCTAAAGAGATAATAATATCTTTAGGGCAGAAGGAAGGGAGAATTACAAATCTGTGAATTAATTTACTGTGAGTTTTGTAAGACTGACTAAAAAAATCTAGGGCAAGTACCATGATATCTTTCGTTTTTTTTTTTTTTTTTGGAATTAGGTGAGTGAATACAAAGATTCTACCTTTAATACAAAGCAGAATATAGTGAGTACTTTAATGGTCGGATACTAAATTACTATGTTAGAAAGTGGAAAAAAGAGGTTAAATCGAACTAGACCAACTAGTGAATTAATGACATTTTCAGGACAGTCTGAGGTATGAGTAGGAGAAAACAGTAAAACTCCAGGCTGAGGAACTGCATGAATAACATGTGTGAACAGAAGGGCATGATGGTCGATTGAGACAGTGGAATGAAGCTGCAACAAAGGTAAACTGAGGAAATAATAGGACAAAAGTTTGGAAGAGCCAGATCATAAGCTACCTTATTATTATGCTAAGGAATTTGTGACCTGAACCACTTACTGTGTTTTGCCAAGTATAATGTGCACATTTTGCCCAAATTTTTGAGGGAAAAATAAGGATGTGCATTATCCATGGGTAGTACTAACTCTGTATCTATATAAATATTTTTAATTATTTTATTTATGCTTGTACATTAAGTAACTCTAGAAAACAATGACAACCATATGCAAAATAATACCCTGAAATATGTTCATTGGTTTTGTATCTAGATATAAATCAATAAAAATCAAATTAAAAAGTTAAAACAAAAAACTTTTCTGAAAGGTTGGGCCAAAAACATGGGTGTGCAGTATACACGGGAGCACATTCTAGGGAACAAAATCTGAACTGGGTTGACTTAGGAAGATTAAGGTAATGATGAAAATTACATTTTAGTTAGGCAGAGGTCATGCGGCAGGGAGAACAAGGACAGGTTCTTTATGATACTGTAGAACAAAATCATACAAAAGGATAACTAGGAAGTGTATTTCCCATTAACAGGAGAAGGAAAGTGTGTGTGTGTGTGTGTGTGTGTGTGTGTGTGTGTGTGTGGTGGAGAGAAAGGAATGTGCATCAGCAAGCTTTAGAACTTTAGTTTGAGTTAAGAGCAGCGTAAAGCGAGAGATGACAGTGAACTGTATTTGGGGCACAGTGATTAATGTATTTCCCAGTCATCCCTTGGGAAGAGAAATACAAAGGTAAAGGCTAGAGGTGCATAAAAGAAAATACTCTTTAAGAGTAATTACAGGATTCTATGAAACTCATGTTTGATAGCTAGAATGCTGATTCACACTAAAAGAAATTGGGCAAGTCAGTATTTTAATCTGATTTTATTTTACTTCCAATTGGACTAAGATGCCAATGTTTTCTTCATGAAGACTTCTAGGGATTTTAAGGTCCTCATCTGTATTCCATTCCCCTATCAGAGAATTTTCTTGATACTTCTGTCTTTTCTGAACCTCCTTATATCTATCTTTGTACATCAAGCCTGTTCAATTGAACTGCTTTGCACTCCCCCCGTTGTGTATTAGTGCTCACAGCATTTTCCTGTCAATTTTAGGCTAGCAGAGCAATTCTTTTCAACTCCTCCAAATACATAGATTGATGCTGTTTTGCCTTATGAATAATTGTAGTGAGATGAACAGGCAAATAAGGCTCCTCCTTCCTCTTGTTTATTTATTCATTTTTTTAGCAAATCACAAAATAATGCAACCATGTGCAGAATATTATAGGTCTTAGTAGTATCTAGTTACTGGATTGTAGGTTCAGCAATTCAATTTTAAGTTATATATTCAAGGATACTGAGTTTAAAATCACTTGAAGGGTGAGAGTACATTGAATGAACATTAAAGATGAACCAAAAAACCAGAAACACCGTCCTTTCCTTATCTTATAGCACAGCTTAGGAAGGAAAGCAAACATTTAAAAATGACTTTTTAAGAAATGTAATATATTTTACAATAAAAGTATAGGAGACCAGGGAGATATTTTTGAGAACAGGCTGTCAAAAATTCCTGTAAGTCACAGATTATAGAATTAATTATACATAAACTGTCAGTGATACATGACCATCTTTATTTTATTAATTTGACTAGATTTTATGCTATGTGTTACAAACATTGCACAATAAAATAGCCAAGTTAGTGCAAATCGTAGGATAACTTAAAAGACTGATTTTTACCCAAATATATACAATATAATTCATTAAACTAAAAGTATGTAATTTTGTTATCTGCCACTGGAAAATTTTTAACAGCTAAGCAATTTTTATTTAGAATAGCAACTGAGTTAAATCTCGGTGGGCAATGTTTGAATGCATTTCCCCTCAGGGTTGCACTCTTAATAACTTATCCTTGAATATCAAGTTAGGGGAGGTGTCGGAATTAAGATATCTATATAAATCCATTGCATTTGTCACTCTTCATTTAAAACTACATATATTGACTACCTGTGATTTAAAATTAAATGAACTAGTTGATGTTATAAAAATAAACCAAACAGAAAGTTGCATTACATAACATTCAACACTGGTACTTACTTTTTTATTTCAATAATAAATAAGAAAAAGGAGAACAAGAAATAATGGGACAAAGGGAGAGAGAAGACATTCTAGCTTTTGTCTAAAACAGAGCATAACTTAACCATCATTAAAGGAGTACTTCCTAACAGGCTTCATTAAATATTTTTCCTTTAGGAAAAGGTGAATGAGATATTAAAACTCTAGTAGGCTCCATATTGAAATGCAAACTTAGAGCTGTGAAAGCTGCAACTTAATCCCCAGTTAATGTGGCTCAGTGGACTGAGTGCTGGCCAGTGAACCGAAGGGTGATGGGTTTGATTTCCAGTCAGGGCGCAGGTCTGGGTTGTAGGCCAGGCCCCAGTAGGGGGCACAGGAGAGGCAACTACACGTTGATTTTTTTTCCCCCTCTCTTTCTCCCTCCCTCCCTTCTCTCTCTCTAAAAATAAATAAAATCCTTTTTAAAAGTTGAAACTCATTTAAAAGTGATATATAATTTTAAATATTTTTAAATATTTATATTTAAATATACATATTATTATTATTTTATTGTGTACACAGAACAAAATTCCATATTTTCTAGATCCCTTGGTGGTTTATTTTTATTTATTTATTTATTTATTTATTTATTTATTTATTTATTTTTGCGGGAAGGGAAGGGAAAGAAAGAGAGGGAGAGAAACATTGATGTGAGAGAGAAACATTGGTCATTGCCCCTCACATGTGCTCTGACCAGGGACCGAACTCGCAGCCTAGGCATGTGCCCTGGCAGGGGGTCAAACCAGTGACCTTTTGCTTTGCGGGATGATATCCAACCAACTGAGCCCCACCAGCCAGTCAGGTCCCCCTTGGTGTTTTTAGATGCTTGTCTTTTTCTCATAGATACCATTGGAAAATCTGGTCCCTGATTTCATCTGGGACTAAATCCATTTAGTCTGGGACTAAATCCATCATGTCTGGGGACAAATCCATTTTAGATAATCTTTTAAAACAAAGAATTAAACACTTGTGCCTTTTGAAAAGTCAATGAGAAAAATGACGCACTATTTTTTCTAAGATTTTGTTTAGCCGCCACCCCTATCCAAACTACCTTTAAAACAGTAAATAAGGGATTAGAAAATAGTCACTTATGACTGATGACAATAAATCATCAGTCACCCAAAATGAGCATCTTCAGAATCTGAAGTGGAAAATAGAGACGATGATTCACAAAGACCCAGCCCACTGAAGCTTCTGCTCTCCCCTCAGACTCATAATTATTTCAGATAAAAGCATCCTTTTCTACATTGTTTTCTCCGGTCTGTATTTTTCGGTATTGAGATGACCATAGTATAATTTAAAAGCATTATTCATTTTAGCATGTGTATGTTGTATGTGTGTAAATGTCTTCGACATACAAAAAAATCTTGGGGTGGAAGGGTTGTTCCTAAGGAAAGTAAGTTTGGAACAGGCTCACTTAGGCATTCTGCAATGCTTTAGTTTAACTTTTATAAAAAATTTCTCAAATTTGCTGCATTTTTAAATGACTATTTCCCTACTCTCCGCAGATATTCATAAACAATGAATGGCATAATTCAGTGAGTGGCAAGAAATTTCCTGTCTTTAATCCTGCGACTGAGGAGAAACTCTGTGAGGTAGAAGAGGGAGATAAGGTGAGTTTCCTCACACTAGTTCCATTCTCTGCCAGCTGTTTGCTTGTTCCTCACCGTTCTGAGCCATCCTATTGCAAGTTCAAGCAGACATATCAAGAAAATACAGTTTCTGGGGCTGCCTGGGGAATTTTCTCTGTACGTGAAGGGCACTCAGAGGCAGGTGGTGATGGTGAGCCTCAGCTCTGGGTATTGTGGTGATTTGGTGTCATATTATTTTTTCTTGTTTTTCAGTTGAAATAGTCTCTAGATTTATTGTACCAATAGACTGTACATGAAATGAATAATCGTGTATGTAAAAGCCAAGAAATCCTTTATTCATATAAAATTGTTCTCTTTTTAAAGTTGTACAATGAAACTAAAAGGACACTTCACAAAGGACTTTTAGAATAATATATTGCTGTTATTTTATTAGAAGTTATTAAATTAATACTTAGTATCTTTAATATTTATTTTTTTAAGATTTTATTTATTTATTTTTAGACAGAGGGGAATGCAGGGAGAAAGAGAGGGAGAGAAGGATCAATGTGTGGTTGTCCAGTACTGGGGACCTGGCCCACAACCCAGACGTGTGCCCTGATGGGGAATCAGTGACCCTCTGGTTTGCAGACCGGCACTCAGCCCACTGAGCCACACCAGCCAGGGCTTTAATACTGAATTTTACAAATAAATTAAATTGAATCACAAATTAAAAGTGTTGTTGCTCTCTCACTAGTAATACTAACAACAAATACCAACTTTTATTTTGTGATTTAAAAAATTCTAAATGTTGTTTTAATTTGCTACTCAAAGCCACCCTGTCAGAGAGGTACTCTTTCTAACCACTTTTACAAATGATTATGTAAGAGCAGAATATAAAGGTGGAGTAAGTTACTCAAGGTGACATTGCTGATAAATAATGAAATCAGCATTCAAATGCTGTCCTTTGATCCAGAACTTGTGACCGGCAGGGCTACTGCCTTACTTTGTAATTATTATAAAAGTAAGATGGAGTAATTTAAATAGCCTGGGGAATGAGGAGAGTAAAAGCCTTCAGAATTTTTATCTGAACACACACCTTAAAAGGTGTATGTGTTCACAGTCTCATTTGAAATGATTTTCTGGTCATGGGTTGTCAAGCTTCACATTTCTGTCATGTAAGATAGAAAGAGGTAATTATCTTTTTCTGCATGAAAAGACAACCGGGAGATGAGGGCAGCAAAACCCCAGGATAGTACCATTCATGACACTATGTTCGGTTCAATCACCACAGTGATTCCTGCTACTGTCAAGTGTGCATTCGTTCATTTCCTCCTCCCTAATCAATGAGGTCACACTAAGCTCCCAGTGTTAAACCTTGCAAGCCTATTCCAAGATAGTGATAGACCTGAGGGGCTCTTCTGGATTCAGGGAGGGCCCTGAATTCAGGTCGCAGTCTTATCAGTACAAGTATGACCCCTGCCTTTAGGGGAGGAGGACAGAGTTTAGATAGAAGCATCCACAGTTTAAGAAATAGAGGCAGAATGGAGTGGAGACTGCTTTCAGAATTCATTCCTGCAAGGGCTTCTCGCTGCCTCCAGGGAAGAAAATAAAGCCTAGTTTCTAGCCTCCTTCACAGTCCGCCCCATCCCCCACTCGGTGTAAGAGTTCCAACTTCATCATTTTCACCGTGGTCCCCCAAACACCACACGCTGGTCACTGCCTCTGTGCCACAGCTGCGGTGTGGTCCTCAGGACCTTGTTTTAATCGTCATCTTTAGTAAGACAACAGAAGCTCTACATTTGTATTTACCTTGTTTGAGCTTCTGTTCCTTCCTGGGTAAAATGGAGATATTGTAGGGTCCTACCCACTCCTGGTGTTTGGTTCGATCATTCCAGAGTGGGGCCTGAGAATTTGTAGTTCTGATCATTTCTTGGGTGATGCCAATATTGCTGTTTGGGGTAAGGGAGAGGAATACACTTTAAGAACCTTATCTAAGGTATTGAACCACATGTTCTGTCTCCTCTCAGGTGTTAGCATTTAATAAGGGGCGTGTTCATTGACAGGTGAAAAAGTTAGTGATTGGAAACTAAGCTGTGATAGTCACTCTACACCTCTAAGAAAGATTATAAGACCATACTCAGGCAGAGAAATACCGATGACACCTGGCAATGTGTTCTGGAAGACTCAGAAGTCTGTGTGTCCTGTGAGCCATTCCTAGAAATCAAAAAAAAAAAAAAATTCTGCACGTTCCACCAAGAGAAATCATTTTTATCAGAGACTTCTAGAGATGTGCACAGCACTACGTTACCTCAAATATCTGTCTAGTTGCTTGCCACATCTGTTGAGTGGCTCTGTCAGCCCTGGGGGAGATGGAAAAAACAATAAAGGTGAAGGTAAGGGCACAACTGAGCCCCTGACAGCTGCCTCCTCTTTCTCTCCAGAGGTACAAATGCTGCTCAGGAGGGAGACTGCAGAGCTTTTTGCAGTTGGCAAGTAACAAAGGAAAAAAATGCTCTGGGCCTAGACATCTCACTTTGCCACTCACTGGCTTTTGGGTTCAGTTTCAACCGGTGAAACAAATCTGAGCCTGGAGTTCCAGTAGAAATCTGTCAGGCGATCTGAGGTCTTCTTGGCCTCGTTAGTGGGATTTACTTTCTTCATCAAGTGCAGTGAGGGTGAGCTGATGATCATGCCAGAAGCTGTAAAACTATTTGTCATTTGTTTGCTTTGTGTTTATTGATGATTACTTCTACTCAGAAGAGAGCGGAAAACCTATGCAAGTGTTGATCGAGGACACTCATTCACATCCAGCAAAGCTTCAAATCAGGTCGTAACACTAATCACGCTGGCCGATACTTAACACCCAAGTTAAATTGCCTATGATCTAAAATGCTCACGGTTAACAACTGCTGCACATGCAGCACGCTTGTCATCATAGTCCTTTTTGAAATGATCTACTAGCATTTGTTTTTAAGTAATTATTGCTGTTTTCACACGTTTGGTGACGAAAAAAGTAGTAACTTCTAACATTGCTTTGTGAAAGGTAGAAATCTACAAAATTGTACAGAGTAAACCTAATATTCTGGAACTGATTCTTTAAATAATGAGCCAAGAGGTATTAAGGATTTAATTGATGAGCGGTCTGAAACTAACAATGGGCTATATACCGCCTTTCAATGATATTATAAAAGAAGGAGGAGTGGCAAGGACAAATGAAGGTCACAAAGCAAAGTACAGATGTAGGTGGGAGCTGTTTTCACTTCAGCGGCTCTTTTAGGCTATATTGACTAATTCTAGAAACTGCTTTTAATACTAAAGCATGACATAACAAATAATTGCTGAAGATAAAAGTTCCTTAAAATAAGTGCTACAATAGGTGTCAAAGTGAAAGGGATCTAATACCTCTTCTCTCCAAATCTGAATGAATTCAGTGTGGCCATGCATAATCCGGGAGTGATGGAAGGGTTCGGTTCTTCTGTGACTATGCTTACATGGCATTGGATAATTTATCATCATTTCTGCTATCTCTGCACATTCACCTTTGGTCCCTTACTTTAAAAAAGAACATTTTAAATCCTAAGCAGCAAAAGTGTTATTGATGGTAGCAAATCTGATTTAATGAACCAAGTTGTGGTCTGGTTCATTCAACAATTATGACCTTGGAATATGTTTGCCATAGAATAAAAATCCAAGAAATGCTAATCCTGGAATTAAAAAAAGAAGACCTGTGTACCTAATAGTTTTGATGAATGTAAAAGTTTTGTGTTATATAATTAAATCAGTCAAAATAAGTTATCATTTAAACATAATACAAGCACATTATTTTAATAAGGAGAATTTTATATAAATTCTTACCTTTTATATTAAAATCTTATATATAAATTCTTACTATATATAAGAATTCTTATGTATATAAATTCTTATAGATATTATTATATTTATATATATACTCTTCTATATTTAAAATTCTTGATTTTATAAGGAGAATCCTTATAAAAATCAGTGTAACATGATTAGTTTATAAAATAGGTAACAAATCATTAAATATTTATTAAATGCCAATTGTAGGCACAAAACAGTAGGAAATGTTATAGCTTATACTACAGATAGCAATATATATTTGTTGCAAAAGAGATCACTATCAGCACAGTCTTGAAAGCTATAAAACTGGATTTTGGAGTGAGGATCAACTTTTAGTTGGTATGTTCATGCTGTCTTTCACTACTGGTCAGACAGGGGTCGTGGTGCTTAACTGCGGTAATGATTGTAAGCTTATATAGGGCTTAGCTTAGGGTCTGGAGCTCAGTAGGATCTTTATTAGTAGCTACTATCAAGCTGGATTAGTCTGCTAAGGATTTTGGTAGACTGTGGCATTTCAGCTGGCTCTTAAAGAATACATAGGACTTTGAAAGTAAAAGGGGTATGCTGGGGGAATGTTCTGGGCCAGGAGAATTACAAAAGTGAAGGTGAGGACTTGTGCCAGATACAGTAGAAAAAATGTGAACACAGTTTTGACTGAGTGAGGTGGGGCTCAAAATGTTGGACCTTGAACATCAGAAAGAGGAGTATGGCCTTAGGACTGTACACCACAGAGGGGCCGTTGCAAATGTGTGAAAGGAAAGTGGTAAAATAAAAATATTTGCGGAAGGTTAGCCTGGCAGAAATAGGCAAGACGGTTTGGGGAGAGAAGAGTATGAGTGAAGTTGGGAAGGCTGGCAACAATATTTTAGGCCAATATAATGGCCTAAAATAATACAGGGCCATGAAAACTAAAAGGATAAAAATACACTAGAACTGCTGAGAGTTATTTTAAGGCTATTTTGACAGTTATAACTACAATAGCAATTGCTACCATATAATGAAGACTTAACCTAATGTCTGCCACATAGAAGATATGTTTCAAGTGTTACAGTGTTTAATCTTCAAAACAACTCTATGAGGTAACTTATCCCTGTTTCAAAGATAAGAAAACTGAAGCTTAGAGACATCACATCACAATACATGGCACTTTGGAATATTTTTTTATATTTTATAATATACTGGAGTGCTTATTTTGTTGTATATCTCTCCCATTCTGTTGGAATTTTCAAAAGGGCAATCTCTTTACATCAGCATTTCATTCTCAGCAGCCCAATGATAAGAATGCTATAGAACATCCAAGGAAGCACACACCAAGGCACATCACAATTACATTAGCCAAGATTAAAGATAAGGAGAGAATCTTAAAAGCAGCAAGAGAAAAGGAGACAGTCACCTACAAAGGAGTTCCCATCAGACCATCAGCTGATTTCTCAATAGAGACCTTCTAGGCAAGAAGGGGCTGGAAAGTTTTCCAACTCATGAAATCCAAAGACCTACATCCAAGATTGCTCTATCCAGCAAAGCTTTCATTTAGAATGGAAGGACAGATAAAGTGCTTCTCAGATAAGATCAAATTCAAGGAGTTCATCATCACCAAGCCCTTATTATATGAAATGTTAAAGGGATTTATCTGAGAAGAAGATAAAAAATGTGAACAGTAAAATGACAACAAACTCACAGCTATTAACAACCAAACCTAAAACAAAAACAAACTAAGCAAACAACTAGAACAGAAACAGAATTACAGAAATGGAGATCACATGGAGGGTTATTAGTGGGGGAGTAGGGCAGGGAGAATGCTACAGAACAGAGAATTTAGCAGATTTTAGAGGGTTGGATGGATAGATGGACGGATGGGTGGTTGGATGACTGAAAGCTAACGTAGCTAGTATGTGAGGAATCAGAATTCACACCTGGGTCGTCTTGTTTCAAAGCTGTATAGTAACCACCATTACTCTATTTCTGTGACTACAAGATAGAATGTAAGATGTGAGGGAAGTAGAAGCATGATTCAAAGGACATGACCAAAAGAACGTCTTTATTTATAGCAGCATTCTTCAGGGATATACTTCCCATGTGGCAGAGTTACCTGTCCTGAAGCAAGTTTTTCCAGAGCCCAGAATGCCTATGAAAAACCATATTTGGCTAAGGGCAGTGGCAAAACACTGAGCAGAAGGGTCCAAATGAAAGCTGTGTCACACAGACCTGTTTAAACACATCACAGCATATATTTTATAAGCTATGGTATCCACATAGCATGCTGGCAATTTCAGGTTCTTGTGGTTTACTTTTTTATTTTCCAACAGTGCTCTCCAAATATAACTTGGAAAAGGTTAGAATCCATGGCACAAAACAATGTCCAGATATAAGCAATCATTGTGATTAACTGAATGCCCAAAATATCATGGTACATATATATGTTTCTCAGGAAGGGAAAGTAGTGATGCATATGTTTTATTGTATATACCCATCATTCTCTCAGGTTAGACAGTGCGATATACAACTGTACGATGTATTATAGTGAAAGAATGTTTGCCTGTGGTCTATAAATATCATCACTTGGTCATACAATCTAGTAAATTCATACAATTTACACTTCTGAAATTTCTCTCTCACCCCAGATCCTCCCAGTGTGCTGATAAATACTGCAAAAAACATTTATTTGTTTGCATTGTAATTTGCAGGCTTGTAAGTTTAGGGTTTCTTTATTGAATGCAGCCTAGGAAGAGCTCAGAAGTCTGAATCGGAATCTGCAGGGAATGGAGTGGCCGTGGAAAAGTATGTAACTGAGGTGGACCGGCAGAGAGGAGGAATGTTAAACCCAGTTCAGCAAAGAGTGAGAAGGCACGGAGGCTGGACCGAGTGTGGCGTTACTTGATGATTTGACTTTTACTTGAAGTAATGCAATTTTAAGCAATACCTTATTAAAAAGAAAAATTTGACCTCTTTACCTAGTTAGGGATTGAAAACGATGTTTTTGTACCCAGTTGAGAAATGAGAGGTTCTTACAGACAGACCCTTCTCTTTGCCAATTTCACTGCCTGTATGGCTCGGTGCCTCTTTTCCGCTTCACAAAAGGAATGAACAACGTGTTTATATGGTTTCTTCTTCTCGGCAAAGCCAAGTTCTTATTCACCCTTCAGCAGGTTCTTCATGAGAGTGTGCACAGGTCGTAGAGTCACCAGGGGTTACAGAAGATACTCACTCTTTTAGATCTTGGGTTTTTCCCTGGCACTCGGGAAACCACGTCATCGACGCGTTAGGATGCAGTGGTGAAGAACCAGGTCTCCGTTGTCAGACTGGCTCCATGTTCAGCTACCGACCGCGGGCAAACCTGCCTTCTCTCTTTGCTTCAGTTTCTTCATCTGTAAAGTGGGGAACGTATTTATCAGAAAATTATTGAGTTAGTATGTGTGAAGTAATTAGAACCTAACTTGACATATGGCAAACACTCAAATGATAGCAACTCTTAAAATATTATAATATTTTTATCCTAGAAAATCAAGCATATACTATGTATGGGAAACTCATCTTTCCAAAGAGTAGGCGGCAGGTACAATTCCAGTCTACAGTAATTGCTTTGATACAATGTGCTAGACTTTGGGCTAATGAAGACACAGTGCCTGTTTATGAGGTGCTATAGTCCATTTTATGGGTTTATTGCCACTGGATATGTTTAACCTGCTAAACAAATTGCGTTTGACTTGCAGGAGGATGTTAACAAAGCAGTGAAGGCTGCCCGCCAGGCTTTTCAGATTGGCTCCCCATGGCGTACTATGGATGCTTCAGAGAGGGGCCGGCTCCTGTACAAGTTGGCTGATCTGGTTGAGAGAGATCGCCTGCTGCTGGCAGTAAGTATTGACCCAAGTGGACAGGTTGTGAGATCTCTAGAAAGCATTCATTGTTTGGATTACAAGTTGTTTTGATTTCAGCGATCACTACATACACTCTACAAAGAAATCAAAGAGAATTTATCTACTAGCTCATATAGGAACACCACCACTGAGTTTACTCTTAGTAATCTGCACTCTGATTCTGGATGATGTTAACTTCTACTCCCAGAATAGATTCTATAGTCTAAACTCTGGCAAAAAAAAACCCTAGTTAAAACAAATTAAACATATTTCTTTCTTTTACTCTGGAGTTTCTCAGAATGATGAACAGGGAAAAAATGCAGTGTGAATATCCAAGAAAAATATACTGGATTTCTCTAATTTACTTGACCACTGGTGTCTTTGAGTAGGAAATCTCAGTTTTTTTAAGGTGCCCAAAATATTTCTCTAAAATCCATCTTATTTTTCCTTAATCTAGCCCTCTGAGAGAGTTAATAAATGGCCACTTTTTCCCTTCCTTAAATGAATATGTTTACAATGGTTTTGACCAAATTATGTTTGGAAAGATAAGGGAGGAATAACCACTCTTTATAGGTGGAAAGGTAAGGGAGGAATAAACAAAACATTTAATTATTCATGTGTTTATAAAAATTATGTCTTTATGCATACTTTTTTGTAACAATCTAGCAGTCAGATGAGTCAGCACACGAAATGGACGGGGGAGATTACTTCCTTGGTATTCTCATTTGGGTGTTACAATGAAACCAGTTTAACGCAAACCAATACTAAGATCAGGTTTCAGAGTAAATTTTTATTACCTTTTGAATCTTACACCGGCAATAACAAAGAGGCTTACATATTTTTAAAAATCAACATTAGCAATTAGGGTTCCTCAAAAGACCATTTATTACATTCAAAGAGTACAAAACTATGAAATCAGACAATATATACAGTAAAACGACACTGACCAAAATGTTCTGTAGGAAAAAAGAAGAGTTTGCCAAAAGTTGGCTTCCCTTATTTATCTGATCTGTGGATTGTACAGTGTTGACTGCTTTTGTCAGCACAAGATCCTAAGGGGGGAAAAAGAACAGGCATACAAAACCCACGTTTGATAACATTTTGAGATAGTGTACAGTATAAGGCAGAGACAGAAGATTGTATAACAGATGAGGAACACGTTTAAGAGCTTATTACCTGTACATTCCTGCCCCAGAGGATATTAGGTTCCAAACAGCTTATTAAAGTTCTGCTTGAGAGAAGGAGGAAAAAAGGAGAGAGGTCATCCTATAATGGCTAGGGCACTAGACTAGAAAATGTTGAACTTCACAGCCTGACCATTCAAATAATTACGATAATAGTGGCAAAGCTGGGAGGTTATAATAAAAATTCTGCTGTAGAAACTCATGGGTGAAAGATCCAGGGACTGCTTAGTTTTGTGTGAATTGATTGGTTTTCTCCAGACAGAATGCAAAATTAAAAAATTTTTATCGAGGCATTATCAATAGTCACTGACACTAAATTGTCACCCACATTTGTATTATACAAGAGAGATGTTGGAACCCTGAACAGTCTCAAGAGACTAGGTGCCCCCTTACTAGCTGTGTGCATGTCAAATTTTGACCACTTCCTAGAGAGCTGATGACTTGCAGGACATTCAGACAGAGATGGAAGAAGCACCAGGGTGTAGAAACCAGAATCCTACTAACCTTTCTATCCATATCTTGCTAGGTGACCTTGAGCAAATCAAAGAAAGTCATTTTAACTCCTTTTTTTTGTCTCCTTTTTAAGAAGAGGAGTTTAGACAAAATGACTTCTATTTCCAAAGTTTTCAAGCACATCATTATTCAAAATATTAACTATACAGGGTCTGTCCAGAAGGTATCCAGCCATGTAATATGAAAAGTAGAGACATTTATTAAAGAATATGCAAGATACAAGAAACACTGTACATAGGACAATGCTGCCTCAGTCCGCTTCAAAGTAGGCACTATGGGACCTCACACAGTTCTCCCAATCACCATCGGCTGCCCCATTGTATTTTCCTGAATCTCAGTGACAGTCTGAAACTTCTTCCCTTTCAAAGGTGATTTTCATTTTGGGAAAAGCCAGAAGTTGTGGGGCTGAAGAGGGGCTGAGTAACCTGGGTGAATTGATGTTTTGCCAAAAAACTCTGCATGAGACATCATGTATGAGCCAGAACAAGCTGCCAATCACCAGTTGCACATAGCTTCAGCCTTCTCAGTCATCCAAATAGATTTTGTGGAGGAATGCTCAAGCTTAATGCAAAATTTGTTGTAGATTCATTGCTACTCGCTCAGTCATTTTGAAGGCAATGGCCACACAGTACACATGCTCACTCAATGGCATCTACCACCCCCACTGACTAGTACAGTGAAGTCGTCCTTGTGCACACATGCACATTCCAGTCCATTCTCCTTGGCTGCCAGGTTACATCAATGTTGCACAAACTGTTCTTGTTATACTAACAATGGTTTGACTTTTTCTAGGGAGACTTCATATATATTTACTGTAAAAATTTACAGAGGTCTAGATCTGGGGTTCGATTTCTTTTTCAGACAATGGAGTCAATGAATGGTGGGAAACTCTTTGCCAAGGCATATCTGATGGATTTAGAAGGCTGCATAAGGACATTACGCTACTGTGCAGGGTGGGCTGACAAGATCCAGGGTCGTACAATACCTATTGGTGAGTAGCTTTGACACACAACTGGGGCGAGGGTAGCAGTGAGGAGATTACTGCAGAGTTGAGTGATTCCAAACACTCCCTTTTAAAGATGTCAACCAAAAAACCAAAATTATTGTCTTTTCTTGACTTTGAGACAATGCACTTCTGAACCCGGAAGTTCAGCTAAGATTCACAACTAGCTTTTGAAATTGTTTCTGCGTAATTGTGCGGAAGATAACACAATAGATATTCTAGAAAATAGGAAAGTGAGAACATTCTTATTCCTGATTTACTGACTTAGGCAATTTTCTACAAGCCCAAACTTTTCAAAGCTGGTCTCTGAAATTATTTATGTGGGTTTTATTCCAATAGTGGCATTTATACCCTTTCTAAATTATAATTATTTAAGCCATTTTGCATGTTCCAGTGTGAGTCAAATTACGGTCCTCTATGCCTAGTCTAACAGTATAGTTACAACAGGCTAGTTAAACAAACCAATTCACATTGACTGTTTCAAATAGCTTCAGAACAAAATGGGACTATGTTTATAGCCCTATTTAAGGATCCATGTGAGTGAATGGTTTATTTTGTGTTTCAGTATTTTAGCAGAATATGCACATAATGGGATGAAAATATTTAAAAAACATCATTTTGGAAAACATTATGAGTAAAATTTGATTCACACCAATGTACTGACTATAGGAATACAGCGCCCTCCAGGTCTGGCCCTGATGGGCATTTTCAATGTAATTAGAGCATCCACCAGGTTATAAGTGATAGCCAGGAAGTTAAAAGGGGAGAACGAGACCATGGTAATACCAACACCTGTGGCTATTTTAGAAACTCTTACTTAACCCTTTGACAAAATGGCAGAAGGCATTTGTAGTACCAATAGATTTTGATAAGGAGCCTTCTTGCTATGATAACCGAGAAGCTTTTGTGAGAACTAGACTGGAGAACATAAAGCACAACATGACCTCAGGGTGACCACTTCAAATTTTGAGGCTTAGGAATAAATCAAATCCAGACTGAAAAAAAGGTGCCTTTTGCTTCAGGCATCTTCTTCATGGATTAAGAGGGTTTGCTTTTATAATTTGGTAGACAAACAAACAAACAAACAAGCAAAAAACATTTTAGAACAAACCAATAGGAAAGAGTTATTGCTTGTAAGAAGATGTATTTCTAATTCTGCTGCTTTTAAATATTACCATTGTTTAAATGATATTACTTAAAAAATTCCACCCTGGCTCAGTGGATTGAGCACTAGCCTGCAAACCCAAAAGCTGCAGGTTCCATTCCCAGTCAGGGTATATGCCTGGGTTGCAACCCAGGTTCCCTAGTTAGGGGTGTGTGAGAGGCAACCAGCCAATGTATCTCACACGTTGATGTTTCTCTCCCTCTCTTCCTCCCTTCCTTCCCTTATCCCTAAAATGTAAGTAAATAAAATCTTTTTTAAAAATCCATCATTACTGGTAGATCTTAGAGCTTCCAGAAACAGAACTTTAAGAGTTCTTTTCTTAGTCACATAACTTTTACGTTTCTTTCTCATGAAAGAAAGGAAACTTGGAGAATAAGGATGGTTTAGAAAACTGTCCTATATGATGAAAGGTAGAATTAAATATCTTTCAGATCTTTTCCATTTTTGCAGTTTGGTCCTGGCCTAATTTAGTTTTATGGTTCCTCTCATTTCAAATTACTATTTAAAGGCTCAAATTTTTATTTTGTAAATAGTTGGAGATATCTCCTTTTTTGTTATTGTTGTCTATACCTTCCTCTCACATCAGATCCAAACTAATATTTCATGAATGTCAAATGTCATTTGTCTGTAAAGGACTATGTGTTTTATTTTCCAGATGGAAACTTTTTTACTTACACAAGACATGAGCCTATTGGTGTGTGTGGCCAGATCATTCCTGTAAGTTGGTTTCCTATATAACTTTCAATCCTAAAAAGAAAGTGAGCTCTAATTTTATTTCATTTGGTAATGAAGTTTTCTGCAGTACAAATGGGCACTTAGATATTTGCTAAATTTGAGGTCAATGTAGTAAGTGTCAAACTTGGATCTCCCTGTGACTGAACTCCTTGCGTATGAATTGGATAGTCCAGAAACTTATCTATACACTGCATATCTCCAAGTGTGTTTCGATATTACAGCATCAAAAAATCTTGACCTTTTAGTCAATATTTTTTTAAATGTTGTATTATATACTCTTTTTGAGACTCTTTATCTTTAAAAAGCAGTATTATACCTCACTTCAAATGCTGAGTGAATTTTTTAAAATAGAGGAAACTACTGGAGCATTGTATGGAATATCCTCACTTTAGATAAGGGGCTGTGACACTTCAAATTCCTCTGAGAAAAGGTAGTATTTTGAGCAAAATCATGGAGATTTTCTTTTAAGCCCAGCAAATAGGAAACTAGCTAAATGATTTCACTTTTGCTGACGTCTTCAAAAGGCCAAATGAAAGATGGTAAGATGTCCCAAAGTTTTAGATGAGGAATAATAATGACATCTTCTGCACCAACATTTTGAATGAAATTTCTTATTAGTTCAAAAACTCCAATCAAGTCTATAAAAACTGCACAATCCCAAATACCATTAATAGCTAACATTTACTGCCCTCCTATGAAGAACTAGTCACTGTATTTTGCCCCCTTTCTCTATGACTCCCCAGGACAACTTTCTGAGGTAGAGAAGACTTGTATCAACCCTTATAGATGATGAACTCATGCAGAGAGAGCATGCAACTTGTTTGATTCACATGGCTTGTTGGTGGTTGAGCTGAGATTTGAACCAAGCTCTTGGCCTTCAGACCCTAGACGTCTTTGTCTTTGTCTTAGAAATAAATGCTACCAAATAATATTATCGGGTAAATAGTTACAATAGTTGGCCTACATACAGAGAGAGGAATAATCACATTTATAAACATTTACAGATAACTTGTAGCATGTTTAATAGTAAGGCTTATTTTCAAACCATGCAATGATTTTTTTTCCTGATAGAAAAAGCTTAATATAACAGCACTTGATAACATGTTGCAGCTTCCTCCTGCCCCTGTTCTGTGTCTGGTTTCTTTGGAACTTCTTAGCATTTATGATTTGCCTTTTGGCAATGAACTTAATTAGAATACCCCAGATGATTAAACAAAACCACTACAATTATTATTTAACATCTACAGGAAGTGTATAATGCATGAGTTAGATTAGTGAATGTGACTTTCAGCAATACAAAGACTCTATTGTTACTTATTGCTTTCTAGTGGAATTTCCCGTTGGTTATGTTAATTTGGAAGATAGGGACTGCCCTTAGCTGCGGAAACACTGTGGTTATCAAGCCGGCAGAGCAAACTCCTCTCACTGCTCTTCACATGGCATCTTTAATAAAAGAGGTAAGTTTCCGAAATCAAAACATGAACAAAACTCAGGAGTCCTACTTTACAATAGGAAGACCTCATTGGCTGCTACTATAAACTTCATGACCTGTGCACCATTCCTGTCCAGTGGTGCAGATACACCAGCACGGCTGTGGCTGTGGTCTCTGCTGCTGTTCCATCCAAATGAACCTCTGCCCAAATGGGACAGGAAGCCAGGCTCTAAAGCTTCATGTCAGTCACCTCGTGATCCCATTTTGGTTTCTTTATCCCAATTCTCATGAATGCCAATTCATGTTAAAATTGATATAACTTTGGTTTATAATTGCCACAAATGGCCTGGAGTTTCTGCAAATTTGTTTAAACTAGGCCATCTGAGGTTTGGAGGCCTCTGTGCTGATATGCTTGCTGGTAATATTGGGCCACCTTATTTTAAACACATCTACCCATGATTCTCTTTTTTATTGTGGTTTCCTCTAAATGTACCATCTTAGTCATTAGGAACATAAATTTAGGAATACTGAACCCATATTTTAAAAATACTCTTCAGCCCAGGCTGGTGTGTGGCTCAGTGGGTTGAGCATGGGCTGCGAACCACAGGGTCGCTGGTTCATTTCCCAGTCAGGGCACATCTGTAGGTTACAGGCTGGGTCCCCAGTGGGGGGCATATAAGAGGCAACCACATATTGATGTTTCTCTCCCTCTCTTTCTCATTTCCTTCCCCTCTCTCCAAATAAATAAAATCTTTTAAAAAATAAAAATACTCTTCACTTCAAATTTTAAAAAGTCAAAATAAAGAGCAGATTTATAGTTGCAGGAGAGGAGAGATTTGAGAAATTGAGTGAAAAAAGTGAAGGGAGTAAGAAGTATGGATTAGTAGTTGCAAAATAGTCATAAAGATGTAAAGTACAGCATAGGGAATACAGTGAATGATATTGTAAAGCCTATGTCTAGTGCCCGGTGGGTATTTGAAACATCGGGGGGAACATTTTGTAAAGCATATGCTTGTCTAAACATTATGCTATACACCAGAAAGTGATACGGAATATTATTGAATGTAAGCTATAATTGAAAAAATAAAATTTTAAAAAAGGGGTGCACAGGCTTGGTTAAAGGGAGCAAAGAAGAGAGGGGAATGAAGGCCATCTGTAATAGTGCCAACAATAAAAAAAGAAAAGAAATATCAAGGTATTGTGATGCAAATAACATGCAATTTTTAATGTGCCTATGTCACTTGCCACACTGTTTTCTACTTGATGATTCTTTAAATAAGAATAAAATCAATCAGTGCAGCTTAATCATGAATACATGATGGTTCTCATCTATACTCATTAAATAATGGCCATGGAAATTTGCAACCCAGGTGATATGCCCTGAACAATCAACAGCTAGAAACTAAAATGTGGGATCCCTTTAACTTCTTGATTTTGCTTTCTTTTTACATGAGTAATTTATGAAACACTTCTATACATATTTTCCTCTCATAGTACTGTTATGCAATTTGAGACAGCTATCACTGGATCCCTGCTCTCAAGAAAGTCAAAACAGACCATGAAAAGAAATGGTCCCTCAACAATGCAACCAACCCTGGAGGTTACTTTAAGTGGGTTAACAAATGATAAAAAACAATAATAGTAGTAGTACTACTAGTAAAGCCACTTACGTGAATCTTCTTTGGTATAGAAACTCATAAGGTTAATGAAGTGGCAGCTTCGATCCCACGCTCTCCTCTTTTTTCATGGGAACAAACCCTCACTACTTTTTCTTGCGTCCTTTAGGCCGGGTTTCCTCCTGGAGTCGTGAACATCGTCCCCGGTTACGGCCCAACGGCAGGGGCTGCCATTTCGTCTCACATGGATGTGGACAAAGTGGCCTTCACTGGATCTACAGAGGTAACGTCATCTACTTAGGCCGGCAGTTAAGAATGTCTGCATTTCCCGCTGTCAGAAGCATGTTTTATTAAACTGTTTTAACACAGACATTTCCTTAAAACCAAATTTCATGCTAATGGTTTGTTTCTCATTCTAACCTTCAAATGTGTTTATAGAACATAAGCAGATATAGTTGAGATGAAACAAAATACCTACTACCAACTTAGAAAGACTGGAGTGGACTGTTTCCTTTGTATTCGTTACTTTCCCTGATGAGAAATAGGACCAGTGAGACCTTGTTATATGATTAGGTACAGTTTACCATAGAAAATATAAATTAGGCTACAATGATTTGTATGAATAATACAAAGCTGTAGATTATAAAACTTAAATAGCAGGGCCTCACCCTTAACTCCTTATCTGGGGCTCTCTCTTCTATCATCATTCTGAAAGACCAGTAGCTCATCTACCCTGGATGTTACTGCCGGCCTAGACTGACTTTTCTGCCTCTTTGGCTCCACCTGGTTAAAGAACAGGGCCTCAGCCATGGACATGGCAAAGAGAGGCAAGGAGGGCGAGAAGAGGAGGTCAGCTGGAAGGTGGAGTTTGGGAGAAAGGGTTCCCACCGGTTGAGATGATTTTCTATCGCAAATGAAAGAAAGTGGTGAAATCATACTGTATGAAGGAAAAAAAACTTTTTGAGTAATTTTATAAGATTATATGACATTGTCAGATATTTAATACAAAACATAATGCACAGTATAGAGGGTGAAGAGCTAGAATAACCTCTTCTTGGAAAGCTGCTGGCATGAACGAGAAATGAGGCAGGATGTGATGAAACAGAAAGATGTGTATGAAGTGCTGTAGGGAGTGCTGAAGGGATAACAGTGTTTGAATGGGGGCTAGGACTTGCCCTGGGTTTGAACAATGGTTACTTTTTTTAACTTCCTGAAGCTCAAAAGACAAGAACATTCTAGATGCTGAGGAAAAACTAATCGTCCTACTTTATACTCCGATTACACACTCCAATGTAAAGAAACATTTTCATAGAGAACTCAAATGGTATAAAATCAAATTTTATTTTTCTCAGTCTCTTAAAAATAAGGTGAATATATGGTCCTTCTTGTTTATTTTTTAAATAGATACAGAGTAGAAAAGGTTTGCATTATGCAAACCCATAATTGAGGTAAGGGAAAGCCAAACCCGCATTCAGGATTCTGCGGGCAAAACAACTGGGAATGTTCAAGACATGGCCAGAAATTGAAAAATGGTGAGGTCACTGGTTGAGATCATAGCAGAGCAGGTAAAGGCCGGAAGGCCCAACTCTCTCAGCCTAACATTCTAGACCCATCTTTGCAGGTACCCCGTGCACATTTCCAGCTCCAGATCGCACGGCCACTCATTCCTCCAGCTCATCTGGGCTGGGGGCTACGCTCCCCTGATCCCACCTCCAGCACCACTGCCTGTCAGTCTTGGCTCATCCCTGAACCCCTAGAGCATTCTGGGGACACTTTGCCTACTGACAAAGAAACCTTGAGAGTAGAAGACTAGGAAACACCCAGGGTCAAATTCTGACTCTACCCCTCTTCGTAGTATGTCTTCCAAAAGTTAAGGATTCTTGCTAAATTTGAGTTTCTTCATTTGTCAAATGGAAATAATAATGTCTACCTTTTTGAGTAGTACAGAATGAAATTGAATGAGCTAATGAGTAGTAAAACAGTTAGTACCCCAACGAGTACTTAGGAAATGGCACAGTTTTTATGTGTGTTCTCTATGCATTTCCATTTCTTTATTCCTTCCTCCATTCCTTTATGTCTCACACTGGTTTAGGAGTTGTGAGGGCAGAGACAATCACTTCCTAATCATGCCATGTGTCTTTTCATTCCTCCAGGATTTTCCTCATAAGAGACCACAGTCTACTATAAGGTGGTTCCTACCATGTCCCCTCTCTGGCTTTTCCTCTCTGGCTTTCACTGCAGTCCCAGAGGCACCCTGAATTTTAAAACTCCCCATCTGTGTTCCTGTTGTCCATAATGTGTAATTATTATAGTGTATGCTCATTGCTTTCTTATATACTCTCTTCTTTGCTGACTATATACAAAGACTGTCTTATTCATTATTATCTCCAGAAACCAGCACAGTTAACTACTTCTAAATAAGTATCAAAAAAATTAAGTTGCCTAAGATGATTTGCGAAGCTACAAAGAAATCAATCTTTCTGAATTCTTTTAGCTTCAGGTTTGTTACCTGGCAGGTGGGGAACTTACCAAATGCCATAAAAGAAGCAAGCTATGGATTACATTTCTTGTGGTGATCGTAGCAATGAATCTCATTCTAAAAATGCTTCTGGCAAGGCCTGAATTTTAATGTCCCACTGGATTCATTTAAAACAGAATCCAACCCACCTAGTGGTGGATACAATAAGTTAAAAACACTTTCAAGAGCACTTGCTACTTCTGCCCCACCTGGCCAGGCCACAGTTTCAAGTCACACACTGTTTACCATAATCTTAAGAGTTCTTATCGCTTCTTCATTCTAGATTACTTTGGGGAAAATGACGGACTTTTACATTTTTCCCAGTTAAGGGAAGAAAATCGTAGGAAAAAAAATGGATGTTTTCTTGTTTTGACTTATCTGTACTTTGGGGAAAACTCCAGCAAACCTGCGTATTTGCCATCTGACCTGGCACTGAGTAAAGGTGTCATCTTCCTACTTCACTCACACCTCTAACCGCTCTTCAGACTAGTTCTTGTGACATCTGTAGTGTTAGAAGAATGCCTCTGATCTCACTTTGTTCCCCAAGACAAATATTATCTACTTGAGTAAAATTTCTCCAGTAAACTTTTCTAAGGAAAATAAAGGGAACAGAAAAAAAAAGGATGCAAAAAAATGTATAGCAAATTCAAAATGCAAAAGGCAAGGTATATTATCTAAGAAATAGGAAATTCTTAATTGCCTTAAATGAAAATTCAGTTTAAGGTTGTCATAAGAAGTATGTATGGAAGGAAAATGGGATACGACAGAAATTTCAGGTTAGGTTTTCCCACTGCAAGGCTAGTTTTAGTTTACTTTTATTAATCTTAGGAGTTTGATTTAGTCCCATAAATCTTTAAAGAAGGTGACAACATCAGCAATTTAATTAATGTTCTGCTCTGTAATGTAGTCAGTTCAGTAACCACATAAAATTTAAACATACATTCAGCAAGCGTCTACTTATCTTTGTTCAGTTGGGATAGAAACTTTTTTTATTAAAATCTGATGTGTCAAGAAGGAAATGAGACAAAGAATAAAAGAAGCAAACTAAAATGAATCCTCTTTTTTAAAAAAACACAATGATCATTTTAGAGCATTAAGACTTTAATTTAAAAAAGTATAATAGCTATCATACAAGCCAGGTTTCAGAGATAGGAAATAAGAACAAGTACAGAAAATAATCTTGTTGGGAAGAGATCCATTAAAAAAATAAATAAATAAAACAATGTCTTTCTTTGAAGAGAGGCAGCTAGCATTAAAGAAGAAACCAGAACAGTAGGATTCCAACTAACTGAAGTAACCACACAGAGTGCAGATCCAATTTCTTTCTTCCTACTCCACTATTCAAAGGTATAGGAGAGAGCAAAAGGTCTGTCAGTCAATCAACAGTTAAGTGGGCCCATTGTGATAGATCATGCCGAGAAGAGGTATGCAGAGATAGAATATTGTCACTGCTATAAAGGAGGTGACGTCTGTTTGGGAATTGATATCTAAACAAATAATGCAGTATGAGGGAGACTTTGAAAGAGTCCTCATGATGGTCCCGTGGGAGGTCAGAGGAAGAATGGGTCATGTCCACCTAGAGTCATCAGAAAAGGATTCAAAAATAAGCTCAGACAAGAGGTGGACCCAAAGGAAGGGTAGGATTGGAAGCAGCCCAGGTCATTGAGCATCTAATGAGGAACAGAGAGAGACTGAAATGCCATTTAGTCTGGACAGAGTTTTCTAGATGTCAATAGAAGATAGAAAGTCACATTATATAAGTTACAGTTGGAGGAAGATAATGTTAAATCTATCAGTAGAAAGATGTTCTGCTTAAAATGAAAAAAGAACCTCCCATCTAGCCATGTATATCAAGATTAGCTTTTGTATTTTTTATCTCTCTCCTCATGAGCACTTTTTTGATTCACCATGTAGTTATGCTCGGATGAAGGAGCCTTTGACATATGAAGATGCCAAATCTTGAAAAATGCCCTTTAATGATGACACACACTTCATACGAATTTAAAATGCTAACTAAGCCTGTGTTCATGAGAGCAGATTAAGCCTCCTCTCTTGTAATGCTCCGTTTCAGGTTGGCAAATTGATCAAGGAAGCTGCTGGGAAAACCAATCTGAAGAGGGTGACCCTGGAGCTCGGCGGCAAGAGCCCCTGCATTGTGTTTGCTGATGCAGACTGTGAGTAGAAGCCACTTGCTCATGTTTCACCCCTCATCCTTTTTGGTGTCTGGTAAGGTCACAGAGTGAACTTGAAATTTACAAAAGGGTTTGCTTCTAATGCCAAGGTGCAAGGCATTACTCAGGGTCCAAAATACTCTTGAGCATCTCTCAAATTGTCCTAAAATTGTAACTCTAGATAAATCTAACAGAGACACTATTTTTTTTGGTTTCAAATAAATCACTATTTACCCAGGTGAACTCTTGATGAATTAACTGTTTCACATTTAGGAGCCATAATATATATTTTTAAATTCCATACCTTTAAATATTAATATCACATTAAGAACAGTGAGATACCCTCAGATATATTGAACTGAGGCCAACAAGCACATTTATTCAGATTTTACTATTTGTTACTATCATTTCAGAATCAGAAAGGATTAGAAAAGTTAGTTTGTCACCTGGATGATAAGGAGTAGAGTATATTGAATCAGTATCTGACTACATGACTCATGGTTTTTCTGTGTCGCCATATCACCTCTGAGAAATATGTATAAAATACATAAAAAGATCTCTTCTTTAACATGAATGTCTTCCTTGCAGTGGACACTGCTGTCGAATTTGCACACCACGGGTTATTCTACCACCAGGGCCAATGCTGTACAGCTGCATCCCGGCTTTTTGTGGAAGAATCCATTTACGATGAGTTTGTCCGACGGAGTGTTGAACGGGCTAAAAAGTATGTTCTTGGAAATCCTCTCACCCCAGGAGTCAATCAAGGCCCTCAGGTGAGTATAAAATAAAGAGATAGCATTCACCAGGGACAAGAGTAAAGTGTTCTTTTTAGGACTACTCTTTATTGAATAATATTACTTCCCAGATATGTGTCTTCCTAGGTGACAACACTGTATTGGTTTGATTAAAAAATAATTAATCTAGCTCCCAACAATGAAGAAAATGTCCTGTCTTTGTGTTGCCTGGTTTTTATGTCTAAAAGTTTAAGAGTCATGTTGAGGATAAAAGATGTAAAAAAGAACAACAGATGATACAAATTTCTTGTTTTTTTCCAGCCTGCATGCCTCCTGATTTCTATACACAGTTCTCTGTTCACTTCAAAGTTCTTGCATTTCTCTTATATATTTCTGCCTCAGAATCAGTCCTTTGTCTCAGCCTCCATCCCACAAACAGAGGCATCTAACATGTCTCTAAATTCCCTCCATTGTCTGTAGTTACTCTAATGGTGACCCAAGTGTCCTTAAAGGTCTTGAGTTCCTGGGTTTGTAGCAAACTTCTCCTTTTACTGGTTAAAGACCAATTATTCCTCCAGGGTTCCCCTTATGTCTAGTTAGAACCCAGAGAGACATAATAATGTCTCTCTTTCTAACTCTTTCTCCCTCTTATCCAAATGTCACCTTTTCCTCTTCCTTGCCCCGTTCTCTGTTTATTATTTGTTGTTGGAAGCTCCTGGACTGTTGGTTCTAATTTTACTCTTGCCCTTTGAGATCTTGATCTAGATCAGTGAGGGACAATTTTGCCCCCCACCAAAGGGATAATTGGCATTGTTTGAGACATTTTAGTTGTCACAATTGGCGGTGAGGAGGGCTCTAGTGGCATCTAGTAGGTAGAGGCCAGAGAGGGTACTGAACATCTTACAATGCACAGGAGAACTCACAACAAAGATTTATCTGGCCCAAAATGTCAATAGGGCTGCTCTAGGTTCTACGTGTTAAGCTCAGAGGCTTTATTCTTTGACTAAAGAATATTATTCTTTGACTAAAAAATTTATACACTGTTCAACACTGTTGATTTGGGGGGGGGGGAACATTATTCTCAACTTATTCACTAAACCAAAACTAAATTTGATTAACCAAAATTCATTGAACACAACTATCAGCTAAACCGTGGAATAGGTGCCTGACAATGCCATATGAAACACAAGGTTATGCTACCCGACCTCATGGTGTTTATACTTAAGATAAGTTAAAAGGCTGTCTTGTAGTTCTCTGCTCATGCAAGATATCCTACTAGGAAAATCTTAAGGTTAAGCAATGTGAAATATCCAGACATAAAACTCAAAAATACTTGGCAAATAAAGTAATAAGTTGTTGAACATTATGCTTTTATACTTTGTATTTATCTTGGAGTCAATGAGCACATAGAAATAGTTGCTGCTTTTGATCATATTTGATGACTTTTCAGTTAAATGCCGAGACATACCTGAACTTCAATTTTGACTTGTCTCCTATTAAAAAAAAAAAATGGGGTTCTAAATTTTCAGTTGTAGTTACTGCTCTTTTTAAATATCTATCTATACGTTTATCAATGCAAATGAAAGCACTTTTCCTACTTCCTATTTAATATACTGGTGTAAGATGATATATAGATAAAAGATAGATAGATAAAGTTAAGGGAAAAGCAGGAAAGGAAGGCTAAGAATGGGGCAAGTGGAAAGGTAAGGCAAGAAAACAGGTGGGAAGAGAATACCCGAGATACTTAACATTAAATATTGTTGGGCAATACTTTCCCCCATTAGGGATCTGTTAGTATATATTATAATTTCTAAGAGAAGGAAATTAAAATATAATAAAAGAAAATGTTTACTCATAGAATTCTTAAGTAAATAATCCAGTGATCTTACTGCTTAATACAAGACTTTAATTTCTATAAATGAACAGATTTTTATCACAGGTTGCATTGAAAAAGAATAAGTAGATATCTTGGGACTTCGAGAAGTAAAAGGCTGAAAAGCCCTTTGGGGCTCGTTTACTCTTAAAAATACTCATTTGTTGTCATAAGAAAGAGCTTTTAGAAAGAGACATTTATTCACTAAGCTCTAGAATAAACATGAGATAGCATATAAATTATTATTTGTAAAGATTTTATTATTTTTAGAGAAAGGAGAATGGAGAGAGAAAGAGAGGGAAACATCAATATGTGAGTGCCTCTCAAGCACCCCCTACAGTGGAATCTGGCCCACAACCCAGACATGTGCTGTGACTGGGGATTGTAGGGACAGCCTTTTGTTCACAGGCAGGTGCTCAATCCACTCAGCCACACCAATCACGGCTAAATTCTTAACTGATAAAGTGCTTTTCCAATCTGATTTCATAGACAAAATATGCATTTACTTAAAAATTGTGGAAATGAGTATTTTCATTTGGAAAAGGATTGATGATATCCACATAATGTGCCAACATCACAATAGTGTCTCATCTTGGCCTGGTGTAAAGAGATGGACTTTTGAGTTAGAGACTGGATTTAAAACCTAACCTCCCCGAGGCCTTGTTTTCTCATCTATAAAATGGGAGATAATGATATTAATTTTAAGGGCCATTGTGCACTGAGATGAGATAATTTATATAAAGTATCTATTTGTGTGTTGGGTTCACAGTATGTATTCAAATTCCTGTTAAATAAATGAAAATAATGTGCTTTCATTTATGCCTATGGTGACAGTTATCATCACAGGTCAATAACTTTATATATCTACTTTCATGGCTCTCGATGGTTGACAGTTTCTATTTAATTTGAGATGTGTCGGTGTTGTTTCTCAATCTGTTTTCTTTATCAACCCATCAATCCCAAGGAGTCAAAGAATTTGCACAAACACATCACAATATGTACTTTGAGATTATTGGTCATGCCCCATTACTTTTCATAGACTAACCCATGACCTAATAAAGGCCCATCACACAGTAAAGAGCCCTTGCTACATCCTAGCATTATTGAGACGTTCCTGAGGTCTGAAAGGAAAGCCAAGTTCAGATATGGTCCATCTGAAACCTTCTGACATTTTATATTAATGGTAAATCAAAAGTAGCCAGACCAAACTGAGTATGTTCCTAAGTATAACAGAAAACTTCTGTCAGTAGTCCTAAACTTTACTGCAATGTTCTCCATTTTTTTCTATGTATTTGAACCAGCTGAGTATCTTGTGAAAATGCAATGTGATGTGGTAGGTCTGGAGTGGGGCTTATCAACTCATGATCATTGGTGCCAATTCAACACCAACAGGAATCCTTAATTTTGGGTTCAGAGAAGAAGCTTAATTTGTCCAGTGCAAACAGCTCGACTGTGATACTGCATGGGTGTGAGAACAGCATGGCCCTGGAACAGCTCAACAGAGTCACAGCTCAGTTATGGAACAGCTTAGCTGTGAGGTGGCCCTTGGGCAAGTCCCCTCTCCTGCCAGACCACTCTGCTGTGCTCTGTTCCCCTGTCCTTGCTTTACTCCAGTGAGACTTCTTTGGTGTTTCAGCTTGAGCCAGGGAAACACAGGCTTCTCTCTTCGGTGGAAAGGAAAACTGTGCTCCTAAGCCAGAGGGGGCCTGGCTTATATAAAGAGAAGCCTTCACCTCTGGTCCCTGATTGGTTCATCCTCATGGAAAAGAGGATTCCAGATCTTCATAGTCTGATTGGTCCAAACATCACTGTCCTGATTGGTCAGAATGGAGCATCCCTGATGGTTTGGTGAAGATGCTAATGGAACTATAGCTGTGCAACTTCAACTGGTCAGGAGAAATCTCAGTCCTGTTGTTTGAAATATAATTCCAGAAACTCCCTTATAGGGGCTGGCTTGCCCAGAAGAAACAGAGTTCAGGAGGCAGGCAGTTCAGTGCAGGCTTCTCTCTGAAACTCAGTTTGCCGGAGAGGACCCTGTGTAGTAATGGCTGCTAGGCTATGGTTTGTTTGTTTATTATTGTTATTTAAATACAATTTCTTCATTTTACCCCCTCCCCACCCACCCCCACTCCCACCCTCAACCCTATGCCCCTTTGGCTTTGTCCATGGGTCCTCAATTCCAGTTAAGCACCAGGAGCTTTTCTCAATAGGTGTCTCTTTTATTAGGGTTCATAGGCCCAGCAAGCATGTTTTACTATAACGCAGTGCTGGGGCTGTGGTTGTATGACCACATTGTCAGCAACCAGACATTAAAATATAGATTCCTGTATTTTTAGAAGTTAGTTATCATATAAGTTTTCTAGCAAACAAATCCTTTCAGCCTCTATACGCTAGCGCATAATCAGAAACCCCATTGTCTCCAAATATCCACTATGGTCATAGACAGAGAAAAGTTCTGACTTGGGAAATATTGACACATCCTGAGATAAAACAAACAACAAAAAAAGAAATCATGGTTTTTGGAAGCATAGGCAGAGAAATATATTGAAATAGGCCAGAAAAGCTTTGTGTGGAAGTATACAAATGCTTGTCTATTTATTGATAATCTAGAATATCTTCGCCAGGCAAAGGTGCCTAATCTCACTTATTAGTCTGGTTGTAGTAAATATTATGCACTAATTTAAATATCACTTCTTATTAAACCAACACTGCAATTTTCTTAATCTGTGGAAGTGAAGGAAGATTTTCTTTTGGGAATACTCCGTTAAATATTGTGGACTGTGGAGTATTGAGCAACATTGTACTGAATATTGTGCCAATTTTAGAAAATAGTTTCTAGTTTCAAATAGCATTTAATGTAATTGGCTATGGTTGCTGAGTTGTGTGCAGTTAGGACTTTAGAAAAGCTTTTATTGGGCCTTGGAAGATGAGAGAGATCACAGAGTCAAGGAAGAAAAGAACGTTTTTCAAGTAGTGGAAAAAGACAAGTTAGACTGGCAAGAGGCCCTCACCTTAACTCCTTGATCTCTAAAGGTTTTCCTTTAAAAGTTAACCTCGGTCTTACCTGAGACAAAACAGTCTTCACCAGTGGTTTGGAGTCCAAGAGTTACCCAATCTTTTAATGTTCGAACACAGGAATTGAGACAACAGGTAATGCCAATTCCAGTGCATGGAGGAGAGAGATGTGCTCCTGGTATTCCCAGACAAAACTCTGCACTCATTTTTCTCCTTATAAAAATATTATTCAACAAACCATCTAAGTTCTGTAGTTCTTGTCACATGTTTAGATGTAGCCTGTTTAGTGAAGTAGGATGGTAACTATCAGGCCAGAAATTGAAACCAGACCCAGTGACTGCCCCCGGGGGATCAGGACTGGGGAGCATGGCCAGGCTGTGGTCAGCACGGACCCAGACAGAGGAGTTGATAAGGAGGGAGGACCAAAAGAGGTCTGGGAGTCCTTCTCGAGTCCCGCAGCATCTGCTGTCCAACTGCCATGTCTAATTCAACCCAGTATCAAAGTCTTTTTTCCTCTTCTCACTCTTTATTTCAGTTGGACTACAGTTTCTAGGCAATCATGTTTGATTAGTAATAGGCATTTCTTCTAGTGTAAATAAATGACAGTCGTGTGAAAAGGTTTATATGTGTTTGCAGTACCAATATTCTTTTCTTATATAACAGTAAAACAAAGGCTAAACACAAATCTCTATCTTCAAGGTTCATGAAAACATCATTAAAAATGTCTTCAAAAATCAGAAAAATAAAATATACCCAAAAGAATGAATCTGAGCCTTTGTCAGCTGTTTTCATTATTTGACTTCACAACTCTATCCCAGGATTATGAAGCCCTCAGTAAAAGACCACACAATGTATTCTTTTTATAAGTTGCTAATTTTTTCCCTTTTCACATGGTATTTTTCAAATAGATTGATAAGGAACAATATCAAAAAATACTTGAACTCATTGAGAGTGGAAAGAAAGAAGGGGCCAAACTGGAATGTGGTGGAGGACCATGGGGAAACAAAGGCTACTTTATCCAGCCCACGGTTTTCTCGAATGTGACAGATGAGATGCGCATCGCCAAGGAGGAGGTAAAGGGTTTGTTCTCTTCTGTTCCCTCTAGTGCCATCTTTTGTCTGCATGTGTGTGCACGGCGTCCCTTTAAAGCTCTCAGTTCTTCAAACACCTTTCTCAGTAAACATGATTCTCTCTATTTCTACTACTGGTAAAGTTTTAAAGTTGTGATTCATAATAAAAATAGTATGGAATCTATTGGGTAGGCTAAGAATATCCAGCCAGTCACTGATCAGGGTACTTAATGATGTCTGGGTGCTTCTTTCAAAGATTTAAAGAAATGAAAATAGTATCTGCAGTGTTGCTTTTTCTCTTTTGGAAATAAAATATTTGAAAATCATTGGAAAAGATAAAATTGTATGCAGTTTTTTAAATAAACTTTTTATTTTGAGGTAGTTGTGGATTTAGTTATTACTGAAGGAGTAATACAGAAAAATCCCATGTACTCTTTACCCAGTTCCCTTCAATGGTAACATCTCGCAAAACTATAGTTTCACAGCAAGTGTGTTGACACTGAAAAAGTCAAGACACAGATCCCTCTTTCGTCACCACATGATTCACTCCCTCATGTTTCTCCTTAACAGCCAAATCCATGTCTCTCCTACCCGACCTTGGTTTTTCCTTCACCATAAATCTGTTCTCTATTTCCATAATTTTGTCATTTCAAGATGTTAAATAAATGAAATTATACTTCAAGTAACCTTTTGGAGTTGGCTTTTTGTCATTCAACATAGATCTCTCTAGATAGATTCATCTATTTTGTAGCATGCAAGGATAGTCTTTCCTTTTTATTGCTGAATAGTATTCCACAGCATGGATGTACCACACTTTGTTTAACTATTCACCGGTTGAAGAACTTTTGGGTTGGCTCTAGTTTGGAAATTCCATGAAAAATGCTGCTACAAACATCGGTGTACAAGTTTTTGTGTGAACATGAGTCTTCATTTCTTTAGAATAAATACCCAGGAGGGCAATTGCTGAGTCATATAGTAAATGCAGTTTTCTAAGAAACTGCTTAACTGTTTTCTAGAGTGGCTAAAAGATTTCCCATTCCCATTAGCAATGTATGAGTGATCCAATTTCTCTCTGTTTTCATCAATATTTGGTATTGTGACTAATTTTTATTTTAACCATGAAGATAGGTATGTAGTATAGCTCACTGTTATTTAAATTTGCATTTGCTAATGATGTTGAACATCTTATGCTTGCTTATTTGCTATCTGTTATCTTCCTCAATGAAATGTTTCTTCATGTCTTGTTCATGTACTAATTAGATTGTTTAATTTTTATGTTGAGATTTGAAAGTCCTTTATATATCCTTGTACTTTTGTTGGATATGTGGTTTGCCAATATTGTCTCCCATTCTCTAGCTTATTGTTTCATATGCTTAGCAGGATCTTTCTCAGAACAAAAGTTTTTAATTTTGAGGCAGTCCAGTTTATTCATTTTTCCTTTTATGTATAGTGTTTTTGGTATCAACTCTATGAACTCTTTGTTTACCCCTAAGTCCAAAGGCCTTCTCCTGTGTTTTATAAATCTAATCATGATATTGTAGCCTAAAAACTAAATACATAGCATCTACTGTAATAAATGTGCTAATATCTTCCATAATTTTAATTAAACACAGCACATGGCCCCAGGCTCCTACTTTGAAGTAGCACACAAGCTAGCTGTTTCATGAATACTGTAGGAAAACAATAAATGACTCTTTAATTGAAGCTCTTTTCCTAGTTCTTTCTATCTGGTGTTAACCAAGATAAGCCAGAATGACAGTTCTAATAAGACGAATATTTGTTAGTTAAGTGCAGAAGTTGTAGTTCAGTGGAGGGCTAAATTGATATGGAGAAAAAAACTTGTTTGATTGTCCACACACATTTGCTTTCCTGATTTTCCTGTTTATTTCCTGTTTGAAGATCTGGTTCTGCACTTCTCCCTGCTTTGATGATAGTAGCTGCCCATTACTACAGTAATGAACACCAGAAAACTACTTATCCTTTCTGAGTTTTGCTTCCTCTACTTTACATTTCCCAGAAAATTCTGGTAACACTTGGAGGAGCCCTTCTTTCCTTTAATTTCAACATATGTTTTGTGGAAAGTAATATAGGAGTTTACTTTTTAGGAGAAAACACAGTTGTTTTTCTCCCAGCAAGAGGTAAGATACAGAAGAAATTAAGTCTGGGCTGCACTAGTCAGAGAGTTCAGCAAAAGTAAGAGGGTTCAGACCAAAATGAGCAAAGAGTGATTTTTGCCTCCTGTCCCATGATGACAGGCATTGTCCATGAACTTGTGCTTTGGCTGGCACCAAGTGCGTAAGGATTTAAGCTCCTGCAGTAAAGAATCATTTTGTTTGGTATATGTGAGTTGAATAAGGTTTGGCTGAAGAGTAAAATCTGAACACAAATTCATGTGGATTCAACCAATGTGGTTGATTATGAAGAGATCTAAAACCAATATAATAGTTGATGTTTCAACTGATGGTAAACTGATATTGAAAACATCATTATCAATCATTGCCAACTCATTTATCCAGTAGAATAAACATTACCTACTCGGGTTTGCTATTTGTGTAGTTACTTGGGAAATGAGGATAACTGGGAAGAGGATTTTAAATATTCCTAAATGGAAAAGCAACTCTGTAGTTAATGCTTTCATGCATAATCATTAAGTTCTTGGAAGAATAATTCCAATTCTAGAAAATAAACATGTCTCTTTTTTGTATCTCATCTTCCAAAGAGAACACCCATCTGATCCTAGTATTCCAGCAGCTGCCATTTCAATTTGTACTCATAGGTTTCAGATGAGAAGCAAGTCTTACTTTAAGATAGTTTGTAAGGCCCTGGCTGGTGTAGCTCAATGGATTGAGCGTAGGCCTGCGAATCAGACGATCATCGTTTGATTCCCAGTCAAGGCACATGCCTGGGTTGCAGGCTAGTTCCCAGCAGGGGATGCACAGGAGGCAACCGTACATTGATATTTCTCTCCCTTTCTCCTTCCCTTCCCTTCTAAAGATAAATAAAATATTTTTTTAAAAAAAGACAGTTTGTAAGGCAAAAAAACCCTACAATTTAAAATATTTAGTTTTAACCTATTACTTTATTTTATTCATTTCTTGTGCTGTAGATATTTGGGCCAGTGCAGCAAATCATGAAGTTTAAATCTGTGGATGATGTGATCAAGAGAGCAAACAATACATTCTATGGCTTAGCAGCAGGAATCTTCACCAAAGACCTTGATAAAGCCATAACAATCTCCTCTGCTCTGCAGGCCGGAACAGTGTGGTGAGTCAAACATACTGCCTTTTCGATGTTAATTACATTAACAGGTTACTTTGAACCTTTTCGGATTTTGATTTTTTTCATTGGGAATCACATGGCCAGCTGGGAAAACAGTTGCTAACAAACAAACACACAAAACCCTGAAAGGATTTTTACACACAAAACACACTGGAGAAATTTTAGAAGGGTATTTTCTTTAATACCTCCCAGCCTTCTGAAATTGCTTGCCCAAAATATTTTACTGATGCTTGGGTAATACAATATAAATTTTACTAAGTAATTTCAAGGCACTTGGTACTATGCTATACACAGGGGAGATAAAAGTTGTATTTTAAGCAAGTTCATTACATAATAAGACAATACTTATTTGGTGTGCTTACGTATGCACACATTTAATTCTTACATTGGCTTCTTACTCTGGGATTTTTAGAGGTATTTGGAGATCTTAATGTGGAAGAACATATTGAGTTTTGAGGATCACATCCTTCTTGTTTTTGACCTGATTGATATCTCTGATTTTGATGCTTGAATATACGGGATACAAAGGCTGAGGCGGTGCCTTTCCAGCTATTTTCTCCCCTGCCCGGTTCCCAGGGACTGCTTCGTTGGTATTTCTTTCTTGTCAAACGTCACTTCATGCCCTCAGTTCTGGCAACAGCCCAAGGTTATTTTCCTTCCTGACAATGTCACATCTATTCCAACTAAAATTTTTGTTAGATGTTGAAGAGACAGACAAGCAATCCCTACCCCTCTTGATAGCTCCAGGATCTTGTCCCTAGTCCAAGGGAGAGTCATCATTTAGTTAACACGTACTCTACACTAGGCACAACACTGAGTTCTTTGTGCTCATTATCTTTTTTTGCCTTACAGCTTCTTAAATATGTCATATTTACCAATGAAAAAAATCAAAAAGCTTAGTGATATTGAATGATTGATCAAGATCACACAATGAAGGGAAGGGGACAAAGGGGAGAAGGGTTTTCAGGAACTACTATAAAAGACAAATGGACAAAACCAAGGGGGAGGGTAGAAGCAAGGGAGGGAGGTGGATTTGGAGGGGGTGGAGGGAGGGATGGGGAGAAAATACAGACAACTGTAATTGAACAATAATAAAATAATTTTCAAGAAAGATCACACAATGAATGACAGCTGAGATTCAGACCAACTTCAGACTCCAAGGCAGTGATTCTCAACCCTGGCTTCACACTGGAGTAGTCTGCATACCTTTAAATGTATATAGACTGATTTGAGGTGGGGGAGTGTGTACATTAAACCTACCAATTGCATCAATCTCCCTGATTGAGTCTGGGCATAGCTCTTCTATTTAAAGAGTATTTTTCAAAGCTTTCACACGATTTAATATGTAACTAGGACTAAGGACTACAGCTCAAAAGCCTGATTTTTCTTATGATGGGGTGTTTTCTTTTAGTGAGTCTTAATAAAATTGAATTTTTCTTGAATGATCAGTATGGCTCGTAATTAATGTAGAATTATCCTATGATCCAATTATTAATAAAACTCATTGCTATCATATGTGTGTATATTATTTCCATTTACTAAAGACTATGTATCAAGTACTGTATGAAGCATGATTCTATACATCATCTTACGCCTTGTATCGATCCTATTCAATATCATTCATGCCCATTTTACAGAGAAGGAAACATACTTAGAGAAGCCGGATAACTCTCCAGAGATCACCCAGGTTCTAAGGGGCGGAGCCAGGGTTTGTGGGCATAGCACCTCCCTTTATAACAAGAAAGGATCTTAAAACACAGAATCAGTTGGCAAGGCCGATCATTTTAGTTTTCTCTAACTGAATATTTTCGTTTCCTGTTTCCTTACACTAACACAGTTTCCCTTCCATGATAGAGTCAAAGGGACAAACTCATTTTCTGTGCTTTTTAAAAAAGACACATTTCAGTTTTCTTGACTTTGTAATAGCAGCAAGGTATTTGCCTGTTTGGTTAAGCAGCTTGTTGTGACGTCACTCCACTTGGGCGCCCCAGGCAGGGGAATCCCCAGTCAGAAATGTCTCCACTATTAAAACAGAGGTGACTGTATTCTCATTACTGCGCATCTTAAAACATAAGAATATTTACTGTATATTTTAAAACATAAGAATGTTCTGGAATTGTTCCAAACATAGTCACTGCTTGATGTTTTCCAGACAACTATTGAATTTCAGTGTTTTTGGTATTTTACTCATAATTTCAAAATAATGATTTGATTCTGCAGTTGAAAGAGCAATGAAGTAAAGTAGAGACAAATTGTCTTTTGAGAGTGTAAGTTTATTTAAGGAACCATCCTCCAGGAAGAGAGATTGGATGGGAAGAACTTGGTGGTCCAATGAAAATATGGAACCCTGGGAATTGGATAATAAATGCTTCTAATTGAGAAAATGTCTGTATATTATCTCAGGACCAAATTAATAGCCAAACTTTTCCAAGCATAATACAATGTATCTATAAGTAACACTATCATTCACCTATTATAATGGCATAAAGGGAGGAAAAGTATTTTAAAAGAATAATGTGCCTTCTTTAAATCATATCGTTTTCCTCTTATGTATAATGAGAATCGTGTAGATAATTAGATTCTGCTGTTCGCTTTGGCTGCCGGGGAACTTAAGGCTAAACAGATTGTTCCTGCCCTGCATCGCTGTGTTCTAACTTTCTCCTTTGTCTTGATCTTCTACTATAATTCTTTCTTTAGCTCTAATCACTCATGTTTTTGTAATTATACTTGTTCAGAAATGTGGCAAGGAGTAAACAAATTAATAATGAAATCCAACTCTTGCTGAGGCCTCAGTTGAAGCAGTTATTGAATCAATTAATTTTGAAAACTGAACTGAATAATATGATACATATTATCATTGTGAAAAAAATGATTCTAGCCTGTTAAGCACACGACTCTCAAGAGAATTACAAAACTTATTGTAATTCTCCAGCAAGCCACATCCCTTTTCCTGTGGCTACTTTATCCTTTATAATTTGAACTTCAACTTCTGAGGCACATACAGTCCTATCAAAACGGCTATGCACACAGAGTGGTACCTTTGTGTTTGTTTATAGGCAGTGTATATATACATGTACTTCTGCAGTCTAATTTATAGTGCTACTTTTTATCACAATGAGTATGTTTTATTGAAATTAATGAAATTCTTAAAGAGTTCTCTGAATTTTCTAAAATTCCAGATTTAGGAGTTATTTTATAAGTTCAGTATAATCTATAGTGCTTTTTCTTTCCAGGGTGAATTGCTATAGTGTGGTATCTGCCCAATGTCCCTTTGGTGGATTCAAGATGTCTGGAAATGGACGAGAACTGTAAGAACATTTTTGTTAAGATCCTTACCTTGATAAAAATGGTTGTCATTCCCAAGGAATTATTCCATAGTTACTACTTGAATTAACACTTGCTCTGGTCTTTCCTAGAGACTCATACTGCCAAATAACTTCTTTAACTACTGGGTTTACCCCCTAAGTACAAAACTGTAATGGCAGAAAGGAGATGTAACTTAATAAACTCCTACTGTTCATAAGGGACCATACTAAGCACTTTACATTGGTCATTGAAAACATTCCTAGAAAGAAGCTAGAAACTACAAATTACTGGTTGTAAGAAGTGTGCAAATATACGGACACTGTGGTGATTTGAATAGGATGCCTCTTAAGTAAGTAGATCAGGTGTCTTTATCTAAAAAATTTTTTCAGTGTAAGAAGAATGGGTCTCATTTGTTGAACTATTATTGATAATAGACCCCCACATTTTAAATTACCTGAATGAGTTATTCTTGGTACTAAAATGTAAACTGAAAAGAAAATATGACCAAAGAAAACATGTTTTATAGTCATGATCAAATTAAGAATACATATAAAAATGCATTTATGAGCCTCTAGTTGCTTTTAAACCAGGACATAAAGACTTTTTAAATGTGCACATATATATTTATACATAGAAAGTAGTGACATTATATTTGCTTAATTTTGTTCAAGCAATTTTAACCACTTAATTTCTTAAAATTTTCTTATATTTAGCAATAATTTTTTAAAATATATAATCCTTATTATATTTTATCTCATTACCATTTAGTCCCCTTATATACCTTTCTCCCTTCCAACTACTGCCTTGTTGCCCATGTCCATGAGTCCTTTTTTTTTAAGATAGAAATAAATTTTAAAAGTCATAAAGAAAAAAAGCACATTATATACAAACCCTATGAAATCAAACATAGTAAAGCTGCCCATTTTATAAACAGCAAGTAAAAGTGAGTCTCAGTTGGGAACGGACAGGAATGCATGTACTTTGTCATTTAAATAAATCAGCAAAATTACAATGAAATGTTTATCTTTGGAGAGCCAGTGAAAAAAGGAAATAATCAAATGATCCATCCTCTTTCTCAACATATATTAAGTACTTATATTTATATAAGCCAAGGAGCCCCAGAACATGATACCATATGCCATCTTTCATGTAACTGTGGTGGCAGGAGGAATGTGTAAAAACATAGATATTGCAAAATCACCTACACACACTATGAAATAAGTTGTATTAGACTGGGAGTCTGTACGTCACAGAGGTACAGAAACAGTTAAAGTGCAAGCACAGTGTTAAAGAATGGAAAATTGGCGTCCCACTGGAATATAGCATTTATGGCATCTAATTCACAATTTTAATCTGTCCATTAAGGACAGCATTTGTGGTGGGGATAAGCATGGAAGAAGAAAGTAGAAGGTCTATGACTTCTTTGCCATGTGTATGATTCCATGGCTGTAACTCTGGTGTAAATTCAGTAAGTAAAAACTTAATGGCAATGGACAGAATAAGAAAAGACCTTACAGAAAAGATAGGAATCAATCTAGGGCATGAAACAAGCAGAAATTGAGTAAATGGAAAAGAGGCAGTTCTGAACAGAATGTTACCTGTGGCATGGTGAAGGACTAGTGAATTTGGTTGGCTGGTGGGGATTTATGTGGGTGGGAAGAATAAGTCCAGAGTTAAATAGGATACAGATTAAGAAGTTTTTAATTCAAGAAAATTGGGTTACATGTTACTAGTGGAGCAGTGAAAAGCTATATCTTTAAAATGTTGTTGAGGAGGAAGAGAGTGGCAAAAGATCAACCCATAAAAAGTGCATGGCATTGTGAAGTGCATAATCTTTAACATAACTAAAGATTAACCAACTTGTATTTGAATCCTGGCTGCACCATTTGCTAACTGTGCAGCCTAGTTCAAGTTTGCACAACTTTTGAGCCTTACTTCCTCCTGTTTAAAGTGGAGATATTAACATTCCTCTTAAGATGGGTATGGGAATAAAATGACCTACTGCATGTTTATTCTGTAGTATCGTAACTGTAACAAAGTGAGGACTCAGCAATGGTTTCTTCTTTCCTCATCCTTTTCCTTTATAATACGCATTATTAGAGAGTCCCTTGGTAAAACTAATTATTTTGCACAAAAAGTTAAAAGAAAGGTTAGATTATCATGAAAGACAATAAGTTCATGCTGGCCCAGTTATCTAACACATTCCCCTAGGAATGTTGAAAATAAAATAATCAAAAGGGATGAAACAACTAAAGTAGACCAAATATGTCAAATTTGTTTAATACCACTTGGTCAAACTATAAGGTTGAGGCATTAAGGAAATCAAAAAGAAGAGAGATGAAAAACAGAAATTAACCCTGACTAATTTCTTAAAAATCTTTAATGTGTATATAGATAATTTTCTTCTTTAAAATACAAAGGAAAATTTTATATAGTAACTTTTAATTTCAAAAATGCTAGCTGAGGGTGCTACTGTTTAAGTCCCCCTGAAATCAAAGTTGACAAACTTAATAAACAAGTCCTTTTCTATAAGATGTTCAAAGAGAATTATTGAAGTGATAATTAACAACTCCCAAGAGTTCAATTATAATTTATCCTCAATGGCAGAAAGGTAGAATTCATCGGTTGGGAACAGAGTCTTCAAAGACCCCAAAACAGCATATGTAGATGCACCGTGGTGGTGATGCTGACTAGCTGATCCTGCATGTGCATCTCAGGTCACGATGCTGGTGCTGGAATCAGTTAAATGGCAGAAATTCCTCCCTTTGTGTAATTGCACTAATTTTTACTTAGGTTAACAGAACTGACACTTCGCTAGTGTGCCATTTCAAACTTTATTGGCTCTCAGCATTCCACAACATATTTCTTTGCTCCTGTGTTTTTTAGAAAAGGGGAGCAGGAAGATGTGGTCCGTTCAGCCAACATTTCCTCTGTGCCTCCTTAATTGATATCAGGCTAATTTCTGGGTCTGGAGTGAAAAACAGATACAATTTGTCATGACACTGTAGAGCTTGGGTGAGAAGCATGGAAATGCTGTCTCCAGCCTTTCTCCTGACCTCCTGAAGCAGAATGGGCATTTCAGTCAGTTCCCAGGTTATTGGTATATTAAAGATTTTAGAAGCACAGAACTAGTCACCCACAGACAAGTAAGGCAAAAGAAGTGTAAGGGATGTTGTGTTATATCACACACATAATATATGCATAGGTACAGTAAGAAGCGGGACTTACTTCCACCTGAGAATGACAATACCGTACTTAGTGCTGTCATGAGTGTTTCCAGTGTGCTATAACCCAAAATACAGTGGGACGCTTATTGGCAATAATCATGGATTGATTTCTCTAACTTTTTGAGATAAAAATACCAAAATGTTATCCTTTAATGGGTTTCAGACAACTGAGGCTAAACCCTTTAATTACTTTGAAGAACATGCTCATTGAAGCTTCTAGAAGGCATTTTCAGGAGCTTAATGGCCCAAGAAAAGAGTCAGGGTAAGAGGATTAGGTTGCCCAAAAGAAAAAGGTGTCTTCTACATGCCTGCCCACATCACCATAAGGGAGGGGCAGAAAGGATCAAGATCTCTTTCCTCTGTAAGCTTATATGTGCATTAGTGTTATGATTTGAAGAGTACTCTTAGGTACAGGTAATTTAATCCTCTCATCAAGACAATATAGAGAATAACTTAGCCTAATCTTTTAAGTTATCTCTTTATCAAAGGATAAATCATAGTCAGTTTTCAAAGTCGGTAGGAGGTCTTCATAGACCTGAGAACAAGATATAATACCAGAGTTCCAACTGATTGACTCAGGTTAATTTCTGATCATTTGGATTTGATTCAAGAGTTATATAAGCAAAGAAATGGCAGGGCTATGAATAGGAAAATCCACAACCACAAAAAGTCCAAAAGACCTGAATTTAGGCCAATGAAACCTCTTCCTTTCTTAAAAACAAAATAAACAAACAAAAAAAGGAAGAAAAATGTCTAACAATGGGTCAAATTTTTTTTTATTTTGCCAAGAATCAAGAGTCAAAAGATATTGTTAAAACTACAGCTAGAAAATAATTTGTTTCAAGACCTCTGTGTTAGGGCCTGTTACAATAGAAGTGGAAGCATGGTCCTGTTTAGCCCCTTCATCCCTTCTGGGTCAATCACATGTGGTAAATAACTAAGCTAAGTCATATTTGAACTTATTAGTTTTTCTATGCTACTCAAATGATTATACAGGGTGAGACAAAAGGAGGTTTACAGGTGTGAGTACATGAAACACAGAGCTTATCCTTATTATTTATTAAATTCCTGTATTATTTCCAAACATCTATAAATCTACTTTTGCCCTACCCTGTATATTAATACTTCTCCTCTTGTACTATGTCTGTCTTATTTATTTTAACCTAAACTAGAATTTTTGTGTGTATGGTAAGCTCTTTTATAGTCAGATAGAACAATGTCAAAAGTGGACAATTTCTGTGAAAATCAACTGAATGTACATGATCATTTAAAATGCAAAAAAAAATTGTTTGAAATATCTTATGGTTGACTAGCTGCTATTTGAAAAGCTTCTGTACACAGAAAATATCTCCCTTTGTTCCTAGCCAGATAAGAACAAACATGCACCAGATCATGGACTATAGTACATTTTGTACTGCTGTGCTAAATTCTGTGGTTTTTTTTTTTTTGTTTCCCCACTCTCTCTAGAGGAGAATACGGTTTCCACGAGTATACAGAGGTTAAGACGGTCACGATGAAAATTTCTCAGAAGAACTCATAAAGAAACTACAAGGAGAGAGAGAAGAATACTCAATGGTTAAGCATCTCGTGCAGTCACTAATATATTATGGTGGTTTTTAAACACAAAATTGTTGTTTTCTTGATTTTTAAAAACATAAGCTAATCACATGAGCACTAACACTACACATAGAATACTTGGTGTGTAGCTTATACTGAATCATTTACCTTCTGATATGTGACCTCCAAGTCCTACATGTAATAAAATGATGGATTCAGATACAAGATATCTCTAGTTCCATAATAGTCATGCAGTTTTCTTTGTAGCTACTTGTCCAGGATTATCATTGTGTAGAAGAGAACCAGTTGTCACTTCGCTTCTTTCCATTAACATACCTGTTAACTGCAGAGCACATGTGCTCTGTTGCCAGTAGCTGTGAAGTCTTTCGAGTTTATTGAAATGTGTTCTAGAATGTCTTGTCTTCCTTTCAAATGAAGTAATCCCTGAGATACTTAGCTGTAATCTAATCATAAAGCTTAATAAAAACAACCTTGCATGAGTCTTGTTAAGTTTGAATTTTTTTAAGTACAATAGAAGTCTTGGTTGTGGCAAAGTCTTGGTTGTATTCTCCTTGTTGCTCAAAATCCATGAGCATAAAGATATATTTAGAAATAAAAGCCTAATCTCTATATTCGCAAATGGATAAAGAAACATATTTTATTTTCTAGAGGAATTCTTAAAATCAATAGCAAGCATTTGAGATAGATGGTTTCAGTCATTCAGCGTGCAGGTATTGAGTTCCTACAAAGTCATGGGATTAAAACTCATAGAACACGATATTAAATGTTATAGAAAACAGGTGAATGATGGATAATCCATTATCTCCAGGTGCTTTAATTTAGTGGAGAACAAAGATACTGTCAGAAAGGAAGGGAAGAGAAGGGAAGGGAAGAAAGAAGAGGAAAGAAGAAAAGAGGGAGGAGAGGGGAAAAATGAATGGGACTTATATTGGAAATGAGAATTTTAAGAACCATAAGAGTGCAGTAATGTGCCAAAGGGGTAGAGATGACCTTTCACTGAAGGAATTGAGACAGGGCTCATGAAGGAAATTTGACTGGATATGAACCTTAATTGATTATTAATTTGTAGTTTCAAAGGAAGGTGTTATTCTACAACATAGTCTCTCAGAATATGTTGGGAAATTTTCCATTGGGAAATTTTTTGAAAAATTTTGTATACATATGTAATATTTTTTCCCCTTAGAGTTTCACATTGAACATTAGCACATTCTAGCTTCTGAGAAGCCCTACAAAACCAAGAGTTTCTTTTCCCAAATTTATTTAATCAGTGCACTTGCCTTCTCCCTGCCCCCATTTAACACCAATTAACATTAAGAAACACATGTTTGATGCCCCAGCTGGTGTAGCTCAGTAGATTGAGCATGGGCTGTGACCCAAGGGATCACCATTTCGATTCCCAGTCAGGGCACATGCCTGGGTTCCAGGCCAGGCCCCAAGTATGGGATGTGCAAGAGGCAACCACACATTGATGTTTCTTTCCCTCTCTTTCTCCCCTTTCCCCACTCTCTAAAAGTAAATAAGTAAAATCTTAAAAAAAAAAAAAAAAAGAAACACATGTTTGAAAATGCTGTTCTACGCAAGAAGATAACATTGAGTGTCCTAAGGAAATATCTGAGGATCAAGGGAAAGCAGCCAAAGCAATGTCCTCTGCAAGAAGCTGACTGAACCCTACTTACATATTTATTCCCTTACACAAAGAGCTTCTGCCTGTGCTCCCATGTAGGAAACAAAATAAGCAAATAATTTCGTGTGTATTGCTGTTCACTTTCTAAAATATTTTTAGCTCAACAGCTTAAAACTTAAACCTAGTCATCTCTAGGATAGCATTTTTTTCCATTTCAGATATTATATAAATTATGAAATTTACGATTTGAACATTAATAGAAACTTTAGTGACATTATTAGGACATTGTAATCACTGCCACAGTAGAGTGCAACAATGTGTGAATGAATGAAGTTCATTAGCTCCTTAGACCTGAAATAATTTCAACTCCAGTTACAAGGGTTTCTCAAAATTGTGTGGACCTATAAGATGTGCAATCTGAACTATCTTATAAGTTTCAGGGCATAATCAGCATTTTGAAAACTGGAAGAATCATTGTCTAACAGAGACCTGAAAGATCTTTGAACATTGAGAGGGGGAAATATCCAAATACAGAGGAGGGTTGTGTTTTCTGAAAACCAGACAGTGTACATTTTTGAAAGATGTGTTTAAAACCATGCATAAATAAATTAATAGGTAGACAAGTTAATACTGTAATGGCATCAAACCAGACCATTTTTCAAAATGTATAACATAGAGGCCTGAACACAGAACAAGACAAAAGCCAGAAGCAAGTTTAAATATTTGAAAATTAAACCTTCACTGTATAAATAAGACATTACAGAATTAAACAGAAAATATCTGCTTTATATTGGCTCATTCTGAGCCTGCAGACATTATTTGTATTCTTTTTCCTCCATCCTATAAAGCTACACTGGCAATCAGAAAACCTTGAAAAGTTAAAAGGTATCTTATTAGGCCATGTGCTACAGAAAATACAAAAACAAATATGATCTCATTGTTCTCAATATCCACATGGTAGAAATCATTTTCATTTTCAGAAATACCAGATTAAGTTTTAGGATTGGAAGTAATTGCTCATTAAAAGGCATTGTGAAGACTCAGCTATGGATCCTCAGTTGTCCACAGTCCTTTCCATCCCTCAATTTTCAGGATACATGCTTCTAAATTTATTTAGAAAGAACCAAGGAGAAATAGGATAAATTGTTCTTAAGTTCTCATGGCCAATTGAAAGTAGGCACTAACTCAAAATAGAGAATTTTAGCTATTTCTTCACAAAATTCAGAAGGGAATGAGATATCAAAAAAACCTCTTTTCATGAGCAATGCGTGTAATTTTCTGAGCATCTTATTACACTTGGACCTTTAGAGGTACACATGTATTATCAACTATACTCATATTTTGGTGTCTTTTTCAAAGTATATCAAATAACCAGGGTACATTTTTACATGATACACAAGTTCCCACTTCGGATTTCCTTTGCTGACTTACTTCAGGATTTTTTTTATGTTCTCTGGAGGTGGCATTTGAACCCCCCTATTTTGATGGTGAAAGAATTTTGTGGGTCCAAGATGGCAGCGGAGTCAGTCAATGTTACACTCACCTCCTCCCAGGACAACTTAAATATAGACAAAACAATTCGAATAACCAACTAAAGACCAGCTGAAGAGAAGGCTTATGACCAAGGATTTACAGACGAAGCCACATCAAGACTGGTAGGAAGGGTGGAGATACAAAAAGGGCAGGCTACACTCCCACGGGCAGTGGCTGAGATTCTGTGTCTCAATAACAAAGATTCCCCATAAGGAGCATGGGTTTCAACCCCACATCAGGCTCCACTGGAGCCCAGAGCACCAGAGCCAGAAAAGGTGCCCACATAACATCTAGCTGTAAAAATCAGCAGGGATTGTGTCTGCCAGGGAGACACAAGAGTCTGCTAGAGACACAGGAACTCTGTCAAAGGACCAATACACAAAATCTTGTTCACAGCTACTCTCCCTGGGCTCCAGTGGAGAGAGGGCAGAGCAGACTAGAGTTGTGTAAAAAGAGACTGGGTCTTGTGGCTCTCGGGAGAGAACCGACAAGATAGCTGCCAGGATCCCTGTGCTGAGTCACTTTCCCACGCCACAGGTATAATCTTTCTTGGGTGGAGCACGTCTCTTCTTGCAGTACCGGCCTGGGAGAATACAATACCCCCACTTCTGGACTCCCTGTCTCCCCACCCTGCACAGGTTGCACCCTGCTCAGGAGTCGGCTGCCTGGGCCAGGGCAGAGATTTCAGGGCAGACTCAGAAAGTGTCAGTGATGTGGTTGTTAATAACTGTGAGTTTGCTGTCCTTTCACTGTTCATGTTTTTTTTAACTTCTCTTTCTTTGGTAAGTCCCTTTAACATTTCATATAATAAGGGCTTGGTGATGATGAACTTCTTGAATTTGATCTTATCTGAGAAGCACTTTATCTGCCCTTCCATTCTAAATGAAAACTTTGCTGGATAGAGCAATCTTGGTTGTAGGTCTTTGGATTCCATGAGTTGGAATACCTCTTTCCAGCCCCTTCTTGCCTATAAGGACAGCTAGATCAGGAGTGGAAACATAGAAATAAAGATCTCAAGGAGGGTTAGCAACAGGGGAGTGGGAGGAGGAGAAGTGGGGGAGAAGGTACAGAAAATAAGTAGCATAGACAGTAGATAGAAAATAGATGGGGGGCAAGAATAGCATGGGAAATATAGAATCTAAAGGACCTGAGACACATGGTCATAAACTAAAGGGGGATAATAGTGGGGACGGGGGGTAGGGTGGAGGGGAATGAAGGGGGGAATAGAACAACTGTAATGGCATAATCAATAAAAATAAATTTTAAAAAAGAAAGAAAACAAACAAAACAAAACAAAAAAAAAAGAAAGTGTCAGTGACTAAATTGTGTGGCTTTGGGTGGGGCTGTATCCCCCACTTTCTCGTGAACCTGACTGGAGCTTCCTCCTATGGCAAATTTGCTACCCCATCCTCCTGAGTCCTCATGGCTCTGCCCTGCCAAGGTCTAGGAAAAATCGGGGACACACTGAGTTGTGTGGCTCTGGATGAGGGACATTTTTGCTTCAAATGACTGACCAGTGCAGAGTCCTACCTTTGCAAGGCCAAATCTTAGTCTGTCAGGGCTTGATAAACTTCTGACCTCACCCTGATGACTCCCTGAGACCCTGCCCCACCATGAAAGTATACGAGCACAACAGTATACTGATTGCCAGAGAGAAAGGGGGTGAGGGGGGGTAGAAGAGGACAAAGACTGAATAACTGGTGATGGAAGGAGACTGGACCTGGGGTGGTGAACATACAGTACAACATACAGATAATGTACTGTAGAATTGTACACCTGAAATCTATACAATTTTATTAACCAATATCACCCCAATAAAATCAATAAAAATTAAACATAAAAATGAACATTTAAAAAAGAAAGAATTTTAAGGAGAAAAGAAAATGATGACTATGTTCGCTGGATACCAAAATTTAGTGACAGCCAGGAAGGCAAGAAAGCTTACCCTGGTAACATGTTCAAATTGTGCTATTCTTGAAGATACCATCCTGAATGAAGGCACAAATAAGAGTGATAAGCTCCATCATCACTTTGACATACTGTAGAGGGTTAGAGATGGTGTCTCTCTCTCTCTGAAGACAAGGCTACAAAATTCTTGGTTGATGCTTAAGATTGCTCTAGATCATATCTCTAAACTAGCCCTTGAATTCTGGGTAGTTGGTTTATGCCAGAGGAGAACAGTCACATCCATAAACATTTAGGATATTCCAAAACCCCTGGAAAGCCAAATTCATTGCCTAGTAAAATATTTACACCAAAAGTATAGCAATGCTTTGCACACATTTATTTTAGTGCCGTGTGCTGATCAGTTTCACAAGCACT